GGGGGATTACGATAATTCTTGGCCCCATACCAGTAAATAATTGTGCTCTCGGTTTAGATCAGAAGCTAGTTGGTAGAAATTGTTTGAATGGAGCAAAACCGCATAAGAGGTTGTGTTAAAGAATAGCATGTGAGGCTTTTGTAACAACTAAACCTAGATGATCAAGCTTGCGCTGGTGCATTTATTGAACATGTTCCCAGTCGATGTTCTCCGGTATCATGATCTAATTACCAATCAATCTATCATCGGTAACTAAGTACGCTATTAACCAAAGGTCCTTTGGCACACTGTAACCATATTGGTTTTGTGTTTATAGACACTTGAGTCCCAATTGCTGCAATTAAAGGCAACATATCAATTAAACCTGGAAAAGTTAGAATATAATTTCCAAGTACTCAAACGAAGGGATGAAGAAAATATGTTCACCAAGTCCAATCAAAAGCGAAAGATCACGCGAATGTTGGACACGTTGAACAACCTTCATGTGAAGGCGAATCGACAAGAAAAACAGTACAGGTCAGAGTCTATGGAGGGTTCTGTGTTATTAAAACTCTGTTGAGCTGATGTGCTTTGCCTACTTTTGAACTATCCTTGTTTCGTGTACTACAGTCATTGTTTAACTTCTAAATCAAAGACACAGATTGAGAACACTTTGCTGTCTGAAACAGTGACAAGCTAGTATTACAACAGGACTCAAGAGACAATGAAAGGAAACTTGGTCGATTGGTTTAAACAAAGCGCTTGCATCTAAACGCAGGTCAGAATATAGAAAAATATGGATTGACCCATATTATTTAGTTTCTTGTCACACACGTAATCGAAAACAGCTAATTACAATCTTAAACTAAGATGATGATGTATAATTCTTCCCCTAATTAGCCTCCCTTGCGTGCATAGCATGTCACCTAAACTATGAGATGTTCACACCCACTCGTGTCTCAATAGCTGCCACATATAAAGCAATGACCCGAACAAGTGCCGCAAAGCATGTTCCGATAAAGAGTGGAAACACAGGGCTCGGGATTGTTACTAAAAGTGTAAAGTTCCAGTAATCGTTGTCCGCGTTCAATAAGTAAGTCGGCAGTCTTTATTTTAAAATAAGCTCGACAATCATTCAAACGGCAGCAACGAAATAGACGCACAATTCAGATTGATCAAATTGACCAATATTTGTGCGGACTCATAGTATTCTGTCACACTTCTCTAAACACTTCCGACAAGTTAGTGTAATAACCATAGTGACTGAAGCATTTTTTTTTCCTTCACGCCGCCGATGGTCTTGCTTCGGTTACCAGTTTTGCGGTTCCTTGGTCGATTCGGTAAAACATCTGCTGAGAGTTGTTGACGACAGATTGTAAAGCAGTGTCTCCGCTGCGGTTATGTCTTCTGACTATGCTCCAATGCACTTTGTTGGACTATCACGTATGCTGGCGTTTAGACGGCCGATATAATTTGTTTTCCCAGAAATTCCTTAAAAGAAGCTGTTCACTCAGTATGTAAACGTTCACATAGGTGATCTGAAAACTACTGGTAACCTAAGGGTGTTTGATTGTTTTGCAAGTTGCACATCTTGGTTTCAATAGAACTCGTACTGACGATGCTACCACGCATGGTGACGAAAGGTTTGTAGTCAAAATACCTAGCTTGGACAAGGACAGAACACATTCATCTTCACCACGCTATACAAGTATTCTCAATACTTGTAGTGATGAAAATGTTAATTGTTGTGCAGTATTGCGTGATAGGTTGACCGGGCAAAGTTCGAGCATGGATTTAGAAATTCATCTCATCCTCCAGACTATCGGATGTCAGGGTATACTTCAGAGACCTTTTACTTAGTAGTAAACACCCACCTACCGGTTCGATCATTCTTTACAAGCCCCAAATTAAAGTCTGAACAGCGGTCGATTGTACAGTGGTGCTCATGAAGCTGTCCAAAGGAATGGCGGCCCATCATAGTCACGAACGCTACTGACCAGACTTCTAGTATACTGTACAAGGATTAATGCGCTTCGGTGACGAAGGAATATCCGGAACCAAGAAAGGCCACTGCCTGATAAGCATTCCAACTGTTGCCTGAGTGTACCTGTTAACCTGTTCAATACGATGTTTGCTTTCCTCTGCATTCAGCACTGAAAATGAGCAGTTATCCGAGGACTACAAGAAACGAATGGAAAACTTCCGGGATCTGCAAAAGAAATCCAAGTAATTTCGAACTATCTCATTTTAAATTTCAACGATTTCTTCCACTTTTAGTACATTTTTATAACACTAATTTTCTACTATCTGTGCGGAAGCAAAACGCAAGAAGTCCGCTTTTATGCCAGCGTTGTGAACATTTCTGACATATATAAATATTAATGAGCTGGCTGCTCAGTGCGTTGTTTGTTGAAACCTCATCCATAAACCTTGATGGTTGTTCACTGTGTCAAACGCGATAGGTGATATGACGTAGTCGGATGCAAATTTATGTCCATTTGTTCCTAACTTTGCCTCGTTTATCATCTGTTTCTGTTGGCTGGTGGCCGAGTGTTCTGCGCGCCTCGTTTGTAACCATAAGGTCCCCGGTTCGAATCCGCATAGGGGTTTGCGTCCTCGCGGTATACTCAGCCCGCACGTGACTGGTGCTGGTCGCGCGGCAGCGAACCGCCGTTACGGCGTATATCTGACACACTTCTATATTAACATCTGGTTTGTATCTGCCCGAAATTGTGGCCATCCTCAAACATTTTAATGTTAATTGCACTCCAAAGTATTAATCTAGGGGGTACTACGATACATTCTCAATACAAATTTCTAAACGGAATATAGTGCTTGATTTTTCTACTGTCAGAGGATTACCTGTGCTCAGTGAGATAATCGCATTGCGTAGCCTGACACGGCTGGACTGATGAACCTGCGATTCGGCTCACAGTATGTTACACAGATTCGCATACCTACAACAAACACTACTCTCAGTCTGCGAAAATTTCGCTAGAACTCCGGGCTAGGTTTCTAAGCCCGAGGACTGCACCTAGGGTGGTGCTTTTCAAGGGAATACAGCTCGTAACATCTGGTTCGCATAACATAACGTCAGTCTGCGTTGGACAACCAAAACTAGGCATTTTACTTGGTGGATTATTGTTCGGCGGCATCCGGTTTCGGATTTTCCTGTCATTGCGACCAGCCACAAGAGTATACAATTCTAGGTATACACCCTGGGTGCATCTGTAGGATAGAATTGCACAAACTGGTGAAAGCGGGGTTCTTTACGATGTTCAGTAGTCCCCTGCTTAGTTTTCCTTCGAACCTATGCGAAGTCATGGGAACTGTTATCACAGGAGCATTTAAAGCACCCGGAGATGTGTAGACGCCTCGTTGCTGAAGGAATCACTGACCTGCCTAGTAAACCAGTGGTCACTGGTTCGGCCTGTGTAGAGAACCGGCCGACTGTCGCAGCATCCTTAGCCTGCGCTCGGCTGGTGGTGGTAGCATGGCAGCGAAGCGTAGGCATGGCGTAACGGTTTACTAATGATATCTTTCTTTGCTTTAAAGAAATGCGAGAGGGTTGTCCGGAGGCAGCATGATGTTCGTCACAATCTCTTAAACGCTACAAACTTGCTGAAAGGCTTTGCAGATTAGACCTACTCTGTTGACGCTGGCGTGGGAGTGGACGCTGTCCGACACGAAGGATTCCTGATGTGCTGTAACTTAACCTTGAGTACAGAGACCGCACATATTCGTGCGTCCGTCACCCAAATTGTCAGCTATTCACTGTTGATTTCAATATCCGAAAGACTAGCATGATATCAAGCGACGGCACAGCATCACAAAACTGATCAACCCAAAGTAAGCTCAAGTGTAATACTGCCATGTTCAAAACACTGAACCTGTGCAAACAAAGAATCCACAACTGCCGGCATAGTAGCAGAGTACGTCTTCCGATAGCGATACACAGGTAGCTATACCCCAGATAGACTGATGAACAATCAAGAACAGCGAACCAACACACTGGCTTATTGCGAAGAGTATTCAAATGGTTTGACCCTTCCAACTCCCCGCAAAACATTCAGCGATTTCGTTAGACTTAGTGTAGTGGGTACCGTCCAAGCAATCCAGGTAGAAGCAGCTCCTGCTAATCATCTTTGTGGTACGTCATGCGCCGTTCGTACTTACTATGGTATCTGTTGGGGTGAACGTCGGTAAAAATAGTAAAATCAAACATAGCACTGCAAGGAAAATAAAGCAAAATCGAACTTGTTCATGCTATTCAGTCTTTTAAAGTGTCGCAAACCCAAACTCATTACTTGAGGAATTAGCACTACATCCGTGGGCACTCTCCGTCAGCGATGCGATTGCAGACCCAACATCAATCTTGCGTTTTTGTATAGGATGTGGTCTGAAAGTGATGAAAGTTATGCTGCACTCCAGAAAATGGCAACATGGCGCAAGTTGCCTACAAAGCTGCCACTAGGAACAAGTCTGAACGCGGTCGAAGCCAGGCCACCAGTTACTAAGCACACACCAAACCAGCGATATTTTGTTGTGCGCCCAGCTTTCTCCACTTTCGAAGCGGAACTCAGTGCAACCCGCCTACCATTCGATGTAGAAGCAGCTCATCTGCCATACGTTGTGACTGTAGAGTTATGTATCGGGTGCGCAGTGCACCAACCCGAACCTACCCCGGGCGGTAGGTCATAGAGGCATAAAAAAAGATTGTCTGTCGACCTCACATGAATAGACACAAAAGCACATGTAACCTTTTTTGTATTCGGATACGCTTCTCGCCTACGTAGCTCACACTTGTTTGTCTACAAACGCATAAGTGCTCTTCAGTAAGTTGACCAACGTTTGAAAACGTCAAACATGAATGTATTGGACCTCATCGTGATAACCGAGGCATGGCTGAACGATGTGCTCACCGATTCTGAGGTCTTATCATCTAGCATGTTACCCCTGCGCAACGATCGACCCACTAACGGACGCTGCATAATTCCTCACCAATCTTCGGACATGCACCTTGATCCTATTAAGAACCCAGGAGTTCAAACTGTCGACTCATTATGGCGAGGCTTACGTCAGTTTGGCGATGCATATTTAGTGGCCGCTATATACTACCTACTAATGCCCACTTCATAAATGGAGCAAGTTTTGCTATGAAGCGGACATAGGCACGGTCTTACAGTCGGATACACACTTCAAAATCCCCGGCAAATGTCACTGAGCAATTCAAGATATGACCGTTGCTCCACTGCTGTGCAAGCACGTTACTTTTCCAACGCGCTTCAACATAGGAAACCGACCATTTTAGACCTAGTGTTCACCGACGAGGAACTGGTGTTCGACGTAGTAGTAATAGGGCATTACTTTGAGCCGCAGAGATCATGTAAATCACTATTTCACAGTACTTGCTACGCAGAGTAGTATAAAGTAAACACCGAAGAATCTCATATCATAACCAATTATAATGATCTGCCTAACATCACTAGAACATCTGGCTGTTCGTTCCTAGCCGATTGGTCTCTGAAGTGGCCTGGGGGTGTTTGTTAGCCAATCCAACAGACTGTAGGAAAGCACATAAGAAAACCAAATTGACCACTCAAAAATTGAAGCTCCTACAGAGCAGAATACGGTAATGCAGGGCCTAAAGGGGTTCAACTTGGTACGCCCACATAGCCTCTCTGAGCGATGTCACCTGGGATTTTTATGCAACGCAAATGGCCCACTGCGTCAAACAGGTCCTTGAGAATAAATTACCAACAGGACTTGTGATATGGTTTTCCCCTAGACCCAAGCTACTTTACAGACTTTTGTACACGCTTCTTAGTTGGGCGCGAATTTGCTATTCTGCACACAGCATGTGGGCTAGCACGAACCGTACAACAGACGGCCAATGCTTAATTTATAACTTAGCCTTGCTTTCCAGTGTACCTCCACCTAGCATCCTTTTTAAACCGATCATACAGCCGCCAGGGCTTACGACGAATTATTTACTACCACGAGTGCACTGAAGTAACTGTTACCCTTGCGGGAATTCAACTGACGTGTCGCAGACCACATTCGCATAATGCAGTTAAAGCTGTTGTCTTGAGTTTAATTGAACCGTTAGTCGTTTTTTTCAAGGAACGCTTAATATAGTGCAGGTTCCCACGACGTGGAAGCACGAGATTTTCATCCAAATCTACGAGAGTGGCAGACGTGCAGAACCAGCAAATTAAAGCCCGAAAACACTAATTCCGATGATCGCCAAATCATGGAGTTCATTGCGCTGAGGCTCTCATGAAGTACCTGGACAGCAACATAACTTTCACTCTACAGTAGCACGGATTTCGCCAAAGTCGTTCTGTACTAATAACCTGTTGATGGCTCGTGCTGTGGAGGTTTATGTATGAATAGATACCGCTTAGCTGGATTTCTCGAAGGCATTCGACCCGCTAGATCATCTTGTTCTAGTTCACAAACTTCAGAATTATGGAATCAGTCACACCCTTCTACGCTTGAATGGTAACTTTCTATTTCAACGTCCTCTGAATGTGATGGTATGCAGCCTCCTCTTCGTCCCATTATAAGTACGTTACAGTGTATCTGGGGATCGGTACTCGAGACATTCCCTTTTCTAGTCTTCCTAAACGATCGCACGAGGAGGTTATTTTCAACTATCCTACTACCCGCTGATAAAATAAGGGCGTGGCGTGCTGTCACTGCAATGGGAGACCGCACATCACTATGAATTCATCTGGATACGACTTACACGCGACTAACCGAACTCATGCTCCAATTCAACGCGACCAACTACAAAGTCCTGCGCATACCCCATCAAAGATCTCACGATCAACTTCTGGATACACAAACTCTACGGCGCGTCTCTCATCAGAGCGATCTGAGCGTGCACGTGCCACACAACTATGGCTGTTTGAGTTAAAATGGAAGGACATCGAAGAACACGAATCAGCACGTCTGCCTTCTGCGTATGGCGTTTCTTAATCTTTCCGCAAATGCTTGGTGTGTACACGAGGCGGCACATTATATATGCTATAAAGGTGTGGCAGTCCTAGCAGAAGCACCCTCTCCTCGTGCTAAGGACTATACTACGTAGAGCGACAAAGAAAGTTAATGGTTTGTCCCATCTTCTTGCCGACTTAAGCTGCGAATTTTAAGAGTTTGAAGCTGCCGTTATAGGCCTCTGTGAGGCGATCTCAAAACGGTTATCAGATGCAAAAATACCCCAACCATACTGTCACCATCTTTTGAAACTCAGCCAAAACACATAGGTTTCTGCTGGCCAAGCAGTATAGCCGACTGAAATGTCAACAAATGTTTTTCCTTTTTGAGAATCACAGCTCTGCATTCGCTACCAGTGTACGTACTTAACGCCCTCACGCTATCCCAATACGAAGGTAAATTGACGACACGGTAACACGTCTACTTTACGCGATATAGCCGGTGCTCATCCTATTACAGCACTAGCGCAGAACCATAGGTGATCAATAGCCAATTCCTCTTAGACTTCAGGCAGGAATTGTTACATTAGAGCTAATGTAACCGGCTTGGTGAGCGTCTCATTTTATCGACATTGTGTTTTCGTCTTACGATTTTAACGCTAACCATCCTACAGGGTTTGCCAAGCATTCACCTTTTTATCCGTTCTAAATCTTTGATCCGTTACACACGAACACCGTAGCCGTCAGTAAACAAGGATTTGGGCATGTCCGGGCCGTCACATCAACATGGACTAAAGGTTTTAAGAGCCAACGGTGAGAGTGTTTATGAGTCGATTCCATAACCTCCTAGCAGACTTTCAGAGCCTAAATTCATATGCTGCCGTCTCCTGAAACATAATCACAGTACTAACTTAACGGGGCACAAGTTGCAGTGGTCCACGTGTAACTATGCGCTGCAATATTTCCGGAATTTTTCTGTCTCTCTGATGGCGTCAGTTAAAGAATGCTGCTTCAAAGTAGTTTATATCGGCATCGTAGTAAACGAACACAAAAGTGACTGTTTTTTGCAACTTCTCACCAGGAGATATGGTAACGCTACTTAAGGGTGCATTCGCCTGCCTATCTCACAAATTCTGGCCGGGCGCATTTGCATGTGTTCGTGCAAATATCATGGCCACACTACGGACTCACTTGGATTTCTTAACCCCTCCTTTTGATACTGTAGCACTTTGGTTGGCCATCATATGAAACGTTTCAGGCATCACCTTTTCTATTGATGTTGAAAACCTGTTTCGCTGTTCCTATCGACCCCGGAAGAGGACTCTAAGTTGCAGGAGATCACTGTCACCCACATTTCGGAAGAGAAGGTTTATGTCAAGTCGCTGACAGCTCATCCATGAATGGATTTTTGGAAATCAGCTTGACATCCGTAATATGTATTCCGCGAAGCGGAGCAACTGTGCGCTTACCCAACTCTGTACTGACCTTTGCGTAACAAAGGATCTTGCATCATATGTCGATAGAAGTGCCAAGCAACACACGTCATGCCAACTACTATACTTTGCGTACTAAGCGACATTATATTTTTAAAGCTTACTTGGCTCTCCGGGTATAACCATGACACGATTAACTGGGGATAGCAATTCCTATTCAGCTCCTTTTGGTACTATTGTCTGGTATCTGATACCGGGTCACTAACTGTGACCGACGCCAACTTCGAAGTGAGGGTTTTCATTTCTCTCGACCTAATCATCGCTTGGCCTCCGATTTTCCTCTTCCAACCGAACGTCCAGTGCGCTAACAATGCACGTAACGGAAGTCGGTGTGCTGGGATGCGCAACACGTGGCCCAGCCATCGGAGCCTGGTGCGTGATATAATGGTGCTGAGCGGTTTTCTCGCTCTTCCTACACCAAATACGCGACGCCGAACACGCTCATTGCTCAGGCGGTGCTCCCACCAGACATGAGCTAAGCTACGGAGGCAGCGCTGATCGAACGTGGCCAGCCTCTTTATGTCTGTCGACCTGATGGGCCAGGTATCACAACCATATAGGAGGGTTGATCGGACGGCTGCGTTATGAATGCCCTTCGGGGAAAGAGTGATGTCAGGTCTGCACCACAGGTGATTGGCAAAAGCACCTCGAGCTTTTGCTATACGGTTCGTAATCTCAGTTTCGATCCTATGGGCGCTAATATAGCTGCCCAGGTACTTAAATTCCTGAACGACTTCTAGCTGATCACCACAAAGGGTCAGGTGCAGGGGTGGGTCGCTGCCAATCTTGAAGAAGTACTTGCATTTCCATGGAGCGAAGCACAGCGCAATACGATTGACAACCAGTGCCAATCGGTTCAATGCAGCCTGGCACGTTTGGGCACTGTCACATGTGAGAGCAATGTCGTTCGCCTACTCCAAGCCAAGAATTCATTCACCAGGAAGTAGCTCCACACATTCTAGATCGTGTCCAGCGAACCCTGTTTCCATGTACAATTTGCCAAAGTCGGTTTGATAATCTGCACATGTTTGCGTAGAGTTCCAATAGGAGACGGAATAATGTACTTTGGAGTTTATATTTCATGTATTGACAGGTTATTAATTGAAGCGGAACACCGGAACTTTCATGATATTTGGGTCATGAATGAGGAGGCATTGAAGAAATTAGCTAATCGTCTGTTAGAAGCACATCGGGTCATCAACGAGCAGCAATTAGGAATTCCTTGGATACGTCCTGATACGTGAGTTTACTCTGTATAATGAACCGTTACTTAAAAGCTGCCTCAAAAACCCAAACTTAAATAAATTAAATGGATAAATAAAATTGATATGTGAAGTGATAGTGTTGAGCGGAAATAGCTTGACCTGCGTGACACGTGGTCGTCCATTTTAGTTGTTCATTCTGTAGAGTTATGGCATTTTAAATTATTGGCCTGATGATGCTCGAGAATGCGTACAGTGTGGAAAGTAAGGGTGAGTAGCAAAATTCCGCTCTCCGCCAGAGACTAGGCTATTTGATAGATCACGTTTGGTGAAGGGAGAGTTTAAGGGAAAAAGTACTGCAGTAGGTACAGCAGTGCCGATAGATGGACGCTCTTAGCCAGCTACCAACCCGATTGAACAAAAGTGACCCGGACTGCAGAAAGCGGAATGGGTACTGTAAAAGTCCAAGTTAGTGGATTTCACAACACCAGGTATTGTTTTCCTTATATGTGACGCACACTGATTTATCTAAGTAGTAAAGTAATGTGATTCTATAGTCTGAGATTGTAGACTCGTCACTGCCCTTGACAGTCTTATGTAACTCGAGTAGATAGCTTGAATGTCCATTCAGGTACATAGCACAGGTATGTTGTGTCACCACCGACTGTTCAGGCCCCACGACCGCAAGAAGGACACCAATGAGTCTCCGCGAAAGACTTGTATGCATTAACTCACACGTGCTTGTATAGTTTTGTAAAGCTTTTGAAAGAAAGCTGTTAAAATACCCTGAAGCCAGCCAAGCAGGGGGAAATGTTAAATTTAACATCCGACTGCGCAGCCTTGGAATGTAGAAGGAACCAGATATGTCCTTGAAAATCTCATTATGGGACCCAAACACTAAAGTGGACATCCATTCGTAACGACAGGTTCTGGCAAATCAGCACAACGAAATGGCGTGTTTAAACCAGAGTCAGGTCAGGTCAGGTCAAGAACCAATTATGACACAGACTTCCGTCTAACGAGCGTCCAGCTTCTTGTAACGGTACGCGAAAGCGAGCCCCGGCACTTCGACGCTTGATCGCGTCTTCTTGCTTCTGCAAAACGATATGAAGCAAGTGAAAACAACTGAAAAGGTCGTGAATCTTTCCGTTGCGTCATTTCAGATGCTGCCTTTGAAACAGCCATTCTAAGTGGAAATTGAAGTGTTAATGATTGAAAATTTGATGAGGTGCTTGGGCTGGCAACCTGAAGGAGCAGCGGCACGGGACACGTAGGCGAATCCTCTTGAGCTTCTCACTAATGCGTTCCATGGATTTAATTATGCCGCAGATTCCGGTTGCACTTTTACAGCATAGTTTAAACGCTGGGAAGACATGTTCCGTAAAGGCTTTAGTCATTAGGACGATCCCTGAAAAGTGCGTTTTTTACTCCGCAAGCTCGGCGCGAGCGAACATTCAAGATTCACTAACCATATTCTGCCCAAACAACAAAAGGGTCTGACTTCGACGAGCCGTTGTCACAACCCAGTAAAACATTTTGTGTCTCAGATTCTCTGTTCATCATTCGTTATCAACGCCTAAAGATTGCCAAATGGGAAATGGACGATTATGCAGCGCTAGCAGATATGGTTAACCACGAGTGTGAGCGTTCAGACTATGGTCTTTGACCGACGAACATTTTAAGTGTTTCTTTTTCGTCAGTGCTCTCCAGTCCCCCTGGTATGCTGTGATTCGCACGAGGCTTCTTGCCTGGCTTCAGCAAAACCCAGAGTTGACACTAAACGTTCTTGTTTACTAATGCAAGCGCTTGCTTACTTTGGAGCACGACACGGCCTTAATCGAACGATGTCACCCTGCACAATCCGATACCGTACACGCAGTGAAAAATGCCAGGAATGTTAGCCGTAGCAAATCGTTTAAGAGGGCTCCAAACAAACCATTTATAGTCTGCTGATCGTGCGGCGAATGGCAGCTAGCGCACTTCTGCACATACAAACGTCACATCTGCGAAATGTGCCGTAAGCTGACCATAACGAAGGAATTCTGAAGCCAGGTCCGGCCAAGGCCATCAAAAAAGTTCTACCGTACGAAGCGCTTTCGAAGACATGGTGCAGAATCGCTTTCGGTAACTGTCGCATTTCAAAGTGAGCCGAAGCCAAGATAACAATTCATCATCCTGCTAATCAACGGTATCCAGACGAAGCTGTAATTTGACACGGCCTCAGACATCACAAGCATTTCCAGGAAAACTTCATATCGCATAGAGAGACCAACAATGATGAAGTCCCACAGAATACTCACAACGTATCCGGTGCCGCGCCGCACCCATTGTTACAGTACAGAAAGCGAACAGTATAGTATGCATCTGCGCTAATTTCTCAACTGGTCTTAACGCTGCCCTTGACGACCACCAATACCCATTGCTATTACCGGAAGACATCTACGCAAAATTTAATGGTGCTCGGTGCTTTGCCAAGCTTGAGTTGTCTTATGCACACCTTCAGGTTGATGTTGCCGAGGAGTCGAAAGAGTTATTGATGAGCAACACCCATTATGGGATGTGCCACTACAACCATTTGTCTTTCAGCGTAAAAACGGCACCGGCCATATTTCAACAGTTGATGGATATCATGCTGGCAGGAGTTCCTGAAGCCGCCGCATGGCTCGATGACGTTAGCCTAATGGGCCGAAGAGCGGAGGAATTATTTTACCGCCTGGAGGATGTGCTTGACAGTATGCAGTCGTATGGTTTCCGGGATTCGTGATGACAAATGTTTATTTCACTCTGACCAGCAAGTAGGTTGGTTTTATCCTTAAAAATTGGCCGTCGACCAGATCCGCCAAACATCGAAGCCATAAAGCAGATATTTTCACCAACAGATCTTCAATCGCTGCGTTCACTCTGTGGCTTCATAAGTCACTACAGTGCATGTTTTCCTGAGCTGCATCGCCTGGGTGCCCCGCCAAACAAGCTTCTGACCAATGACCAAGCATGAAACTGTACGCTAGGATGCCGGCGTACCTATGAAAGAATCAAGTCATTACTGGATCCAGACTTGTTGCTTACTTATTCCGATCAGACCCACAAATTCATTCTCGCAACAGACGCATCAAATCACGGGATCGGAGCGGTTATTTCGCATTTGTATTTAGATTAATTCCAGAAGGGGATCGTTCACGTGGCCAGGATTTTGACAAAAGCCGAGCGAAACTGCAGTCAGATCGAAAACGAAGCATTAACATTAAGCTTTGGAGTAAAGAAATTTCATAGAATGCTATACGGGTATCTTCGGCTCAAAGAAGAGTATTCTCGTCCAGACGGCTAACCGGTTCCAACGCTGTCTAATCACTCTGCTGAGTTATGATTTTAAGATCAGCTACCAAACAACCGCTTCCATGGGCCAGGCGGAGGCAATGTCACGACTCATAGAATATCATCAGCAAAATGAAGAAGCCAAGCTTATAGCCTCAATGAAGCTTGAATCGGACTTCAACTTTCTTGTGCTTGATGCATCACTTGCCCTAACTGGGACTGCAGAAACTGTACGATCAGAAACGCTTCGTGACCCGATACTCAAAATGATCGCAATAATCAACAGAACAAGTTTGCCATGCACATGCTCACCACAACCGAATTGCATCAGTACTACCAAACGAGGCATGCATTCTCCTCCGTGGACGGCTGCATACTATTCCCGGGACGAGTTGTCAGGCCCAAGGTCCTACAAAAGCTCGTACTCAGGCAGTTCCATGCAGAACATTCTGGGGTCAACTGGATGAAGGAGCTTGCCCGAAGCTTTGTGTACTAGCCCTTTATGGACAGGCAATTGGAAGAAATGACTAAAAGTTGCCACAAATGCGTAGCCGCTTTAAGGGCACCAGTAAAGGCGGAACTCCATTCATAGCCAAAACCAACGAGGCCATGGTGCCGTGTCCACGTCGATTTTGCAGGACGGATCAACGGCCGGAGTTTTCGCATTGCTGTCTACTTTTACAGCAATTGACCTGAAGTGTTCCTGATGAATAATACGTCGACCAAAGCCACCGTAACAAAACTACGACAAATCTTCACCAAATTCGGCTGTTCAGAGACACTAGTAACTGACAACAGCACACGGTTCACCTCAGCAGTTTTCACGGAGTTCTGCGGACAATGCGCCGTCCAGCACAGCCACTCACCGCCGTTTTACCCACAATCGAATGGCTAGGCAGAGAGATTTGTGGATACTTTCCAGCGTGTTCTCCTCAAAGCAAAAGGAGAGGGACGTATGGAAGTGGTGATTGACCGATTCCTTTTCCTACACCGATCAACGCACAGGCACCGGATGGAGTTTCACCAGCACAGGCCATGATACACAAAAGTTGCGGATGTCGTTTGATGCCATTAGACCAAGCGCAGTGCCCACTGTTGGTGAAAGAAATCACAGAATGGAATGGGATTTTAACCGGCGGTATGGAGCTAAGAAACGAGCCTTTATTGCGTAGCAAATAGTGCTAGTGCATGACCATTGGGCAGGTCAGGCAAATTGGACACCTGGCACGATCAAAGGCAAGCGCGGGAATCTCATGTGTAAAGTGGGTTTGAGGACGTAGACCCGGGTTCCACAAAAACCTAGCTACGGTCAACGCCGTGCCAACCAGAGGAAGTAAAGCCTGCTGAGCTTCCGTTTGACTTGTTGGTGGATAGCAACAACCTGCCAAAGTGGCCTACGAACGACCGCTCAGTCAAGCCAGGAAACGGCACGACAGACCGCGAGACCCGCTTCTCGCGCATTTCAGCCGGGGCGATGGACCGACAGTTCGCACACAGTCCAGGATACCACAAGTCAATCCCAGGCTTTCTTTATATACCGCAGACCCCATCTCAGGAGGGGAAACATCCAGGAGAAGGAAAGTGTTTCCAGGAAAAACCATCACGTCATTGGTTCACTGACTATCGCATCGATTTCGAAGTTACTGAAATGTCCCAATACATGCACATGACTACTATTCTCCTGAAGATTGGTTGGATCAACCTGGCACTGCTAATTCTGGCAGTTGATCACCTGATTCTAGAAGTCGAAAGCCATGAGGCGACCTATAAATTTGACCAAGGTCTGCCAGTTTTGTACAGTTCCAGTTTGACTGTAGTTAACACGTTATTTTGGACATGGTTGTTTTGATTTTTTCTTTCGCTTGGGTTTAATGTCATGCGGAATAACTTAAGTGCGTGTTGCGGAATTGCAGCTAGTGAGAAAATTTTATAGAAGCAAACGGTTGCAAAACCAAAGCAGGTTACTCATGATTGTCGCAAAAATATATGTCCCATACGGGATCGGCGACCCTCTTTTAAGCTGGATCGCCAACTTTCTATTTCAACGGCAATTAGTGGTCAGAGTTCGGAGCTCTTTATCGGACCCCATACAAGTCGAGTGTGGTGTGCCGCTAGGCTCGGTTCTAGGTCCACGTTTGTTTTTGGTGTTTATTAATGACCTTGCACAGGGAATCGCTTCAAACTTCGTAATGTTTACCGACGATATCAAGATCTGGCGCAGGATCCAGGCGAACTCCGACCAACATGTGCTTCAAAGTGACTTAGATACGGTGTATCCATGGTCGACCCAAAACCTATTGCATTTCAACGTCAGTAAATGCAAGGTGGTTTCCATCCGACATCAAAGCAGCTACTCATACCGACTCGGAACGGATGTACTGCAACAATCAACTCACGAACGTGACTTGGGTGTCCTGGTTCAAGATGACTTGGGTTGCTTTAGGCAATCCGAAAAGGCCTCGAAAACCGGGAACCAACACGTGGGGCTGTTGAGGCAGGCGTTTGGACAAATAAACAGCTCGATATTTCGACAAATGCTCAGTGCGTATGTTCGCCCCGATGTCGAATACGCAATTCAAGCCTGGCATCCATGGCTGAAAAACGACCCAAATGCACTGGAGCAGCCACAACGTCGTGCATCTAAGAACGTAATTGGTATGCGCAATCGTTCCTACCAGGAGAGGCTGCGACGACTAGGATTGCTCAGTGGAAGCTATCGCAGACTACGAGGCGACCTGATTATGGCATACTTGATTCTGCGAGATCCACATCATGTGTGCCGCCCTTTACTGCAACTCAGCAGCAATACAAACTTGAGGGGCCACTCATTAAAACTCGCAGAACAATACAGTGGTCTGGAGTGCCGCAGAAATTTTTTTTTCCATCCGTGTCTGTCACCCGTGGAATGCTCTCCCAGAATCGGTCGTCTCTGCACCGACACTAACAGTATTTAAAAGACGATTGGACGATGCACTCATCCACTTACGCTTTGTTACTTAACATTACGTCTCCATCCTACACCTGGAGTTTACCATGGAATTATTTGTTGTTAACTGTTGGTGCTGTGAATCTAAGAGGATCGCAGGACTGCAGCGAAGTAAACGATAAGTCCTTATTTTCGTATTTAAAGTATTAACTATTTTACTATCCTTATCCTCATTATTGTTATGTTGATATCCTCACCAACTATCTGACGGGACTTGTAAAGCAACGCTTCTTAACCCGTATAAATTCATTGTTCATTGTTCCTAATAGGAAATTATGATTACAAGTATAAAAACCAGACAGAAACGGCGCAGCATTTTGCATGCTAACTAGGCAACATTATCCCCTGCCTAGTGTCGAATTCAAAGGTTTTTTAATAAGATCAATGAGTTCTCGCACAGTAATTTTCGCACCGAAAGCAGGGACGGTACCTGCCTGTGCAGTTGAACAGGCTGGAACGCATCCTGGTCTTGAGTTGCTGTTTGTTTTGACGAGCTGTGCAGTTAGATTGTAGCCAAATCGCCTTTGGAACCATGAGGTCACAACAGCCCTAGACAATCCAATCTGTACCTGCGAACGATCTTCCGCGTTATTGCGAAAGTAATGGTCGAACTCGGACTCTGGTGTGATTCCCACCGGGGCCATTAATAAGCCCTCATTGGGCCGTAATTTCCTTGTACATTACTAAAGCTACCCAAATTTTGATGAACTGGGACACACTAGATTGTCTTGAAGGATGCCATAAGGTCAGTTGGAACATGCTATGTTTTAATAGATATACTATACAAAGGAAATTTTTTGAAACCGCCAGACGTTTGCACGAGCCTAGAGCTATTGACTTGAAGTGGATAGTTTGGATGGGTCACCCGACGCACCACTACTAAGATACTGGGCACAACAGACTCGAAGTAAGCCATCACATGCCGCCTTTAAAGAGCAGGATCTGATGTGGCACATCACAAACCACCAATGTAACCCTGAAAATGTGACACATCAAATAAGTACAAGAAAATACGAATCGATATAATTCCGGATTTGTATACAAGCAATTCGATAAGCGTTTGTAAGACACTCACGTGACACAGTTAACAATGTCAGTTTGAGTGGAGTACAAACCCGGAAAACCAGGAATCACCAGCGCTATCTTAAACAACATGAGAACCTGAACATGTTCAACATAACAGTTTATGTATTGTCGAGGAAAACTTGGACGATGTGTAGTGTAGCACCAACATTTTTGGTGTATTACAATGGCGCAACACTCTCGTTTGAATTGTAGAAAGTATTTTTTCTCACTTAGAATCTGTTCTCACTGGAATGCATTACCAAACTATGTGGTGAACACACCAGACATGACGACATTCAAAAGACTCTTAGATTTTCATCTTAGTGATAAACGATACACAACACTTTGTTAAAGTGCAATGATTTAACCACTGATACTTTACGTTCCACGTTGGAACATTTTGATTTTAATTTTCTTTTGCATATCCATCCTGTGGATCTTGTAAAGTTATGCTTTTTATCCCATCATACACCATTGAACCATTGAAATGCTTCTGAACGCCAGTGACTTCCATCAACAAATTCGGAAGTGATATCGAGCTGGTTCCAGCAAATCACTAATTTCTGTTTAGAAGCCCAAATATCTTGAGCATAGAATTCACGCGACACGGGCTGTGGAAAGCTGAATAATGATTATTGTAACAGTCAGCAATGGCATATAAACGGACGTCTGTGAAGCGCTTTTCCCCATGGCTCCATCATTAATAAGAGTGGCGTAGCAGTTTTCTGCAAAAGTACTCCTCTGTCATAAAATTGATAGTGGCAAAGGTTATAAGAAGGAATTTCACAACGGAGCATCTGCATGTTATGAGCATCATACGATTATGTGCAGTTGATTGTTGTGTTCAGCAAAGATGACAGTGAGGGGGCTGCTTCCTTGAAAATTTCACTTTCCAACTTAAAACCTAACTACGCTCACAAAAATTACTGTCATGAGCTTCGGGCAACTAACTCGACTAGAAAGACAATAGCCACCTCACTAGTGCCAGTTGCGCGACATGCTTTGTAACGTCGTCAGTCAAGTACAGGTTGCTTTACATGACCCTAACCGGAAACAGGAGTCAGACACACGGCTCGCGATGACCCAGCATGTCCGAGCAAAGTCTTAATAGATCGGAAAAAGAACCGAGAAAGTCGGCACGCTGAACAAGCTTGATGTTATGCTGTTGGATGAAGGCTTCACTGTATACGTCGCCAGCAATGACCCACGTATCTTTTAGTAAACACAGCCTGTGCATTTTGCTTCGATTTTAATTGTCAGTGATGGACCAACTGCTTTGAATTGTACTAGGTAACTTGAAACGCGAGCTCACGGTATTCTGAATGGAGTAGCAGCATTATATCGAGTGCTTGTGCATCCCCTGTGCGAAACTGATGCATCCACTGATCCCATTCATAAGCGTTCATATTTAATCATAACAACAAGCAATGAATATACATAGAATTTGCAATGCAGCGATTGACGCTCGACTAGATGAAATTTCGTTTGAAAAACAACACATTTTCCCTCCTCGTTACATTCAGGTCATTCATGTGCAATGTGGGGCCCCTGACTGGTCCAGTAGATCTGAGCTCCAGAAAACCACCTGCCGTTATTGCGATACAGCACGCCTTCAGGACAGAAACCAGGTAGGTTTTGGATTTATTCTATTTAGGTCTGCCACGGATAAGTTTTGGCAGATCTATGCTAACATACAGTTCCTGTTTCACAACACCGATACGCCTCTTAGACGAGACGCGCGATTAACGTGCAATTTCAGCCTACTTTCCCGGCATTCATCCACATAACTGCTGCACTGGGTTACGGACTGGAAAGGCTGCAAGAGCTTGACAGCAGTTTTCAAGCATAACTTATCACAATTGGACAACCCGTGGCCACGATGAGAAATATGAGAAGATAGTGTGCCACACGAACGAAATCTTTCAACGGAATGACGTACCTTGCCATGGCTATTCTTTTAAGTACCATCACTCACCAAAAATAATATTGAAGACCGAGATTTCAACTGGACTGCGGTACAACGACTGCGAGCATGATTATCCCTGAAAAAGTGCGTTCCGAGCGTAGCAACTGTAGCGACCCGGTTGTAGTATCCCTTGCGGCTTGGAGGAATTCAGCTTGCATCGAGGTGGGGTCTTTCGAATGGTCAAAGTAGCACATTGTATAAAAAGGTGCACGTAATCTTGCGGTAAGCGGTTTAGTGGGACTAATTTGACCACATATCCCAAAACCAATTACCAGACGCGGTATTTCCACTGTCGCGTGGTGAGTTCGATGCCTGCCGAGAAATAGGTAGTGTAGCCATTCATGCTCAAACGCTGCATTCATTTTCAATGACTTACAGTCGTTCTATCGCCCCCGCACTAATTGCCCCCACTCCTCCAGTGAGAGCTACAAGGTAAGCCGGAACTGGAATAATACATCTAACTCAACAGGGCTATAACTAAATCACAGGAAATTAAAGGGGCAAGATATATAGTACAAACCAATGGAAGAGAAATGTCTTCACATCTCCAGCTGAACTTAATCAAATATGTGCTGTGTCTCGGAACGCGTTCACTCCAATTGCGGTATATTTTGTACATGACCCGAACAGCACACATCTTCTTCCAATCGGAAGAGGCTTAACTCATCCGTACGTCGAACAGAAGTAAAACTAAATCACTGTCTTCACTCTTTTTGTAGTGGTGTGGTGTGATTGAGCAAGAAACAAAACCGGCCTGTATGGCGCATTGGAAAAACAAGTGAAACATACCAACCAATATCAACTCGCCGGCATAAATAATGGTATATAAGGATCGTAGAGGGAGTTGACTCGTATAAGTAGATGTTCGTCGCACCTAGACTCAGGTAGAAAACCAACATGCGCCTGCAAAAGTGGTGTACAACCGTTTTATCATTTCGGGGACCGTCAGCAATGTTTATTCAATCCGACTCCTGTGGGGATCGAACCCGCAACTCGACTGTTGCCATTTTTTGATTGAGACAACTGAGCAAAATGCAACGGTAACGACCATCGTTACTGTTACGGAATGTGGTATAGTGCCGCTTACTATCCAGTGGTTTGCACGTTACTACATTGCAAAGGACAGGGTAGCCCGCTCATCAAGCAGTGACTCATAACACTCGAGTTAGAGGTTCGAGCCTCCCAGGGGTCAGATGGAAAGCGCCCTAGTGACGACTCAGGAAATCACGAACTGGCCATATAGTGCTTTCCCGGAAAAATTATGCGTCTGACTGAGTATTTGTGTGACGAATTACTGAATAGTACTTTGTTTAATATGTTAGGATCTTGTGAGTTAATTTTCATCTCTGTGGTCAAAAAATATGTCACCATCAATGCTGTGTTTAGAGTAAAAGTTGCGCGTCTGGACTGAGATACACAATTTCAGTCCTGGATTAGTTCGAGCTGGCTTCGGTGTATGAAAACTTACGGTATTACTGTCCCCAAAATTACATTTTGGGTCGGTACCACATGAAGACGTCATCGAATTCTAATCTCCTTTTTGGGCAGTTCTGCCTAATATTATAATCCACGGTTATTACCAAGCGTCTTTTAGTATACTAACAAATATGTTCAGCCGTTTTTTCCCCTAGCGTAGTTAGTTTTGTGCGTCGCCATTGTCTTCGGATTAGTGATAATGTGGTTGCTACTGTTTGCGGCGGTGTTTGAGGATCAGAAATTAAGTACGGGCAAGGGCATCTTTTCTACGGATCTTATAGCGTCGATTGGTTTTACTTACTGTTGATTATCTGCGTGAGATTAAGTAAACCATTGATTTTATGCTGTCAAGTAATGTGAAGTCAGGATTTCGTTTTCATGAACTAAGAAAGGGTAAATCCCCGAAACGCCTCTTATGAAAGTGCGGACCGGCGGTAGTGAATACGAACAGACCAAAGTTAAACATTTCACCACGTCCTTCTTGAGAAAACAATATCATATTTTTCCGAGTACACAATGGAAAAATGCATTTCTCATGGATAAACAGGCAAATGCTTAACAGTTTTCCATAAGTAAAAAATGAGATCAGCGGCAGATGCATAAATAAAGCGTGTAGCGATGGGCTTACCGCAAATTGCGCGTGTACACATTGTTTGGTAACTTTGTCGCGTGTTCCGCTAACTTGGGTTAACTCAAGTAATGTAGTTGGCATCTGTGATGTCTGTGTCCGACCCGAGTGAATGGGTGGGCCAACCGAGCAAGCCAGATAGCTAATGGAAGACTGGTGTAACTATTTTGTTTGCTGGACATGGATTGGCTGACTTTCATGTGAGTTTATCGTCGTTTGGTTGAGTCAAAAGAAGAACCTCATTGCGTCAGAAGAGTAATTAGTTTTGGACGTGAACTCGCAACGTATATAGGGGAGCTTGGCTGACCAAACGCGCTGTAATTTTCACCGAGGTTTCATTGCCGAATAAACGCTTGTCCCAGAAGGACTGAGTTCTGCAGCAGTGTCAAGTTTTGAAAGCACTTAAGCTAGGAGCGGAGATGACAGAATGCAGTGGTAAGTTGCATGGTTTGGATACACCATAGAAGAAAAGGTTTCGGCAGCACTGGAACCGGCTATACTGTGTCGCAAACTTCCAACGGTGGCCTCTCACTGATATGGTGTGTGTCGATTTGGAAGGTTTGTGTCTTTGGGGATCTGATACACCAATACAAGCTCACCTCGCAGAAAACGATATTTTTCACTGAAACTTAAGAGTCTAAAATTGTAACGGAGGTACAGCAATCACTTTACATTCTTTGTCCCTTTTTGTCCTGGATTCTCAAAAGCAGTAAGGTCATGGTTTGCCAACGGCGTCACACCTGAATGCCGTATTCTACATGTGTCCTCACGTAAGTGCAAAACATTTGCGAAAAAAGGATCAAACGCTTTCTGCAGTTTGTCCAAGTTTTGGCCGGCTTTTCTCACTGCCTTCTCGGTCTATTTTGAGCTTCAGAGCGCCTTCTGCACGATCACCTCAAGGTCGCTGTCATGAGAATTGCGCGGCCGCACGCCTCCCATTCGAAACTCGTAGGTGCTCTGGTGGCGAATGCTCGCTATGTTGCACTTGACAGTTAAACGCAAGCACTCTTTGCGCCCACCTTTCGTAAGCCCTGTCGATTTCACCTTGCAATGCTATGCGCTGGTCCTCTCGCTTGATTGCCCACCGCCTTGAGATCGTGTGCAAATAATAGAGTTCGACTTCAACACAGTGACACAACGTGTAGTCCAAACTTGACCCTCCAATTAGTCATTTACCGTTGTGACAAAGCGTTGCCCACCATGACCCGGTAGCCAAAGGGGTAGTGGTTTCGGCTACTATTCCAATGGTTGCGCGATCGATGCCTGCTGTCTGCACCCGATGAGATGAAATTACATCGAAACGCGTCGCGGTTGTGTAGTGTTTTTGGGTGGGCAACACCCAATTTCCAACCGCCAGGTCGTTTATGAACACCAGGAATAGTTGTGCTCCTACTATTGAGTCTTGAAAAACGCCACAGTGAACCTCTATCGAGTCGGGCATGGCGCTGCGAACTCTCACATTCGAGCGTCGTTGGAGTACGAACGAATGTATCCATCCCAGGGTAGGGTCCCCGATGTCATAGCTCCGGAGCGTGTAAAGTGAAATGCGGTGCTCTTCGCGACCAAATGCCTTCTAGAAATAAAGGTATGCAGCATTGACTCCTACGCTAGCATCGATGGATTCTGTTTAGCTGACACGGGCTAACAAAACGTTCGTGTTCCATCAGCGCTTTCCGGCAGAATGCATGGTGTTCCTGCAGAATGATGTTGCACTTTTCTAAATATCCCACGTGTGTTTCTGCAACGTTAGTTTCCACAATTTAGCAAGCGCAGTAAGAAGAGTATTCGGGCAGTAGTTTACTGATGCTGTTCGATTGCCTCCCTTGTAAATTGTGTGACGATTCCGCGTTTTCATATAGTTTGGACCTTCATCACGTCTAGACAGCGTTGGAAAAACTAGGTATTGTTCCGGCTAAACTCGTGGCAGTTACCATAAAAAACGTGGAGCGTATGTTATCAAGCCAGATGAACTATACTCGCGTAGTGACCGGTCGCGTCAGCATATCCGCGGCCACGCAGGAGATATGTCGAATCCTGCTGGTAAAATGATGTGTATGAGAGTGCTATAATATGCCGATGCGTTCTGGAAACTACTAACGAAATGATGTCTAAGAACGTTAACTGATTCTTGGGCCGTTTGTACTTATCCACATGTGGTTTTCATATGTGGGATGCCTCACTGTTGTTTGCGAAGTTTGTTAACGTACCTGAAAGTAGCTTAGGAATGCAGCAAATCCTGCGGGTGCTTCAATTTATCTTCGCGGGCCAGTTCAAAAATGGTTTCGCTCGGTTATGTAGGCAATCCAATTTCCGGTGTTTGGATCGGATTGGTATGTTTTCCAAAGTGAGTATCGATGTTAGTAGTTTCCGCGTCCTGCTGCTCAGGAGGGACTTTACCTTTGATGAGCTAAGGACCTTAGTCACGGATGCTGCGAAATCGCTTGACTACAAACACTATAGTCAAAGCTTCTTTCTTTCCCTGCTCGTAGTTGCATGCCGCTGGAATGAGTGATCTGGCTGCATGTGCTACAGCTTTTTCCGAATCATCAGAAATATGA